CACAATATGTTATCATATGAAATTGCAGGAGCAATTGGTAGTACAGCATCATGTTACTTCCTGACCCAATGTTGTTGTGGTTGTTCTTGTGGGGTAGTTTTAGGATTAAATAGATGTAGTTAAACAGTTTTTCTTTATTGTGACTTATAGAAGTTAGAATCAAGGTTCACAAATGAAATACTTTACAGTTACGTCTGAAGAATTGTAAATGCATCTCCTTTTTTTCTAAAGATCTCTTTTATATCATCTGTTGACAATCATTTATACCTCAACTTATTACATGTACATATTTCTCCTTGGTATACCATGATTATGGGGTGTATAAAAAGCTTTGCTATCTTGTAAAGTGCGTTTAAATATGCATTCTAAAAACATTTAGAAATACCTTGATAGTGTACCCAAACTAAACGTAACATGTAGTTTCATTTGACTAGATTCAACTATGCCTTGCACAATATGTTGTCATATAAATTTGCCGGAGTAACTGGTAGTATAACCTCGTTACTTTTTAGAAGAATCTTTTTACTGAACACTGTTGCTAAAGCAAGTGACTAAACCCATTTTAAGTCACCTCCGCTCCGCTACATTCGTGCTGACCAACAGAGAATGCAATGTTAGTTTACTTAATATTATTCTACATATATGCCAATTAACACAAATATAATTGTACAAACAAATGACTGTTTTCAGTGTTTAATAACAAAAGTCAGTATAACCTGTCTGATCATGTGAGTTAGTATCTTCATACTGGTGGTCAGAACCACTAGTTACACACAACGGCTTGGCCCCGGGGTGGTGTTTGGGGGAGGCCAAGGATTCGTTGTTGGCCTGAGACTGACAATACCCTGTCTAATTATGTTGGTCGACAGTTTCATACTGGTGATCAGGACCACTGGTTACTACAACAGTTTTTGTGGATGATTCAGTGATGGCCTTAGACTGACATTGTCCTGTCTGATCATGTTGATCTGTATCTTCACACCGGTGATCAGGACCACCAGTTACTACATCAGCTGTAGTTTTTGAGGATAATTCACTGTTGGCCTGAGACTTGTCCTGCCCTGTTTAGTGATACTGGTGTACATCTTCATACTCGTGATCAGGACCACGAGGTACCACAACAGCTGTAGTTTCTGTGGATGATTTAGTGAGAGCCTGGGACTGGCCCTGTCCTGTCTGATCATGACCACAGTTTATTTCTGTGGCCGGTGACGTTGGGGCCTTTGGTGGTTTATTCGCCCCTACATACATAGGATTTGTCTGCAAGGCAGCTAGAATTGCATCGCGAGGTATATTCCTAATATCCAAAGATTGAATGATGACCTGACACTGATCCTGCTCTGACTGACTATGGCCACCGGTTATTACATGTACAGTAGCTGTGCTGTTTGTGCTGGATTCAGTGATGGCCTGAGACGGGGCAAGACCTGCTTGATCATGACCATCGGTCATTACAGCAGTGGTGGTGTTTGGGGTGGATTTAATGGGGGCCTCCTGATTCAACTTTGAGTATGAGGCAGTCGAACCTGTGTTATATAATGGGCTTTTAGTGTTAAAGGATTCAGTGATTGAGTTCAACGCGGTTGGCGCTGTGTTATATAATTTACTTTTTGAGTGCAAGGATTCAGTGATTCTTATTGAGTTATAGAATGGACTTTTAGTGTCCAAGGATTGGGCCATAACATTGCGCCCAGCCTGACCATGGCCACTGACTGGCTCTTCAGCTGTGGTGTTTGTACTTGTGCAGGATTCAGTGACGGCCTGAGACTGACCTTGCCCTATCTGATCATGTTGGTCTATATCTTCGTACTGGTGGTCAGGACTACTAGTTACTACAGCAGCTGTGGTGTGTGTGTTGTCCACATTGCTGTCCCGGTTTTCAGCAGCTGTGGTGTGTGTGTTGTGCGAAGGAGGTTGGGAATTGGAACCTGAATCAGAATTCCTCACCCTACTTTTGCACACGATTGTGAAAATGACAGCGATAGCGAGACATACCACTGGACCAACAACAGCTAAAGTGATAACCGGTACTTGGGGGAAACTCGGACCAGATTCGTGGGAAGCACAGGTGACAGCAACGGTTGAATTTAGCAATTCGGTGCCAACTGTCGAATCAACATGGCGTTTAAAGTACCAGTAGCTGGTGGTGCCATGGTAACAGTTGTTAGCACTTTTTAATTTGGGATCGGTGGGGGGTGTGGCAAATGTGCAGCCTACAGGGCGTGCTGTTGGCCTTACTTTGTTTTCTGTTATTCCATATGAAAATGGTGACACTGCAGATGAGTTTCGGGCTTCAACAAGGGATGTTGATTTGGTTGATTCATTACAGGACAGGTTTTTTAGACTGATATCTTTAAGTTTTTGTCCTGAAAGATTGGCAGGTTGGGCACACGTCATTTGGCTGTGGACTGCAGGGACTTCAATCAGGTTTTGCCAAAAGGGAGCCATCTTACAGTCACACTGCCAGGGGTTGTTGTCAATACGTAACCCAGGAATTGATGCCAATGTGTCATTGGCTGATAGGGGAAGGACAGATAGCTGATTTGACTGCAGGTACAAATCCTGGAGCTGGGGTAGATTTGAGAAAGTGCCAGTCTGAATGCTAGTTATTTGATTGGAGGCAAGGTTCAACAAACGGACCCGGGGTAGATTTGAGAATACACCAACCTGGATGCTGGTTATTTGATTGGAGTTAAGGTACAATTTTAAAAGATGGGGTAGATTTGAGAATGTGCCAGTCCGAATGCTAGTTATTTGATTGGAGGCAAGGTTCAACAAACGGACCCGGGGTAGATTTGAGAATACACCAACCTGGATGCTGGTTATTTGATTGGAGCTGAGGGACAGTATTAAAAGCTTTTGTAGATTTGAGAATGTGCCAACCTGAATGTTGGATATTTGGTTGGAGGTAAGGTTCAACGTTTGGAGGCGGGGAAGATTTGAGAATGTGCCAGTATCAATGCTGCTTATTTGGTTCGAGCCAAGGTTCAACAAACGAAGCTTGGGTAGATTTGAGAATAAACCAACCTGAATGCTGGTTATTTGGTTGGAGGTCAGGTTCAACGTATCGAGGCGGGGTAGATTTGAAAATGTGCCAGTATGAATGCTGCTTATTTGGTTCGAGCCAAGGTTCAACCAACGAAGCTGGGGTAGATTTGAGAATAAACCAACCTGAATGCTGGTTATTTGGTTGTAGGCAAGATGCAAGAAACAGATCTGGGGTAGATCTGAGAATACACCAACCGGAATGCTGGATATTTGATTAGAGTCAAGATTCAACCAGGCAAGCTTTGGCAGATTTGAGAATGTACCAACCTGAATGGTGTTTATGTTGTTGGAGTTCAGCCACAATGTTCGTAGCTGCTTTAAGTTTGTGAATGCATTAGCCTGGATGCTGGTTATATTGTTGGCGCCAAGGTACACAAACCTGAGCCTCGGGAAATTTGAGAATGTCATAGATTGTATATTGGATATCTGGTTATTTTCTAACCTTAATTCACGGGTAGATGGTGGAGGTTCTGAGGGATGTTGGTGAGGCCAAGATTGGGACATCTGCCGCGTGATGATGGTTCACAGATGTTGCTACATTCTGGCATGTTGGGCTTCTCCAGGATGATAAGAAGTAAAATCAACAAGTGTCGCAGCTTTCTTCCCATGTCGGCCTGCACAGAACAAGCGGCACGAACAAAATAAAAATGGCATTCGGTGATGACGGATTCTTTACTCGTTCTTCTTAATCTTTGCAAGGTGAGCTGAAACACACAAGGATACACAGTAAGACATACACAATCCAATCATTCCCAAAGTCCATTATGGTAACAAGGCAAGCAGAGATCTAGACGACAGGAGTCATGTCCGTACATACGAGCTGAATGTTGTTTTTGTTTTGTCTTTGTGTGACACATGGCAACTTAAATTTCATGATAAGGCACCTTTTTATGCCTTATTTGCCTCGCATGCTTCAATTTGCTTTGTGGTGCCCAGATGACTAAGCGGTCGCTCTGGCTTTTATTCCTTTATAGTTCATACCTTCAAACAAGCAGTTTAAAATCAGTCTGAGCCTGGCTATCTGAATATTAACATTGCAGAATGTTTATATCTCACTTGATATGGTACAGACTTGCAATGGGCCGATGACAGTTTTCCCTAGACATTTCTAAACGGTATTATATACTCACAAACTGCTAATGTTGAAACATGAAGAAACAACATCTAAAACCTGTCATCTATCGTTTGTTTAGGCTTACATGTACCTATCTGGCTGGGTAATTGTCTGATTTGCGCGGTTTGAATATTAATGTTTAGCGGGTTGTTTACTCCCTGATCTGGTGCCTTTTGCTGACGTGTCATATTGAGACAAATTTTCAGGTCCGGAGATAAGAAGAAAAAACACAATGCGTCGAATTGTTGGTTCATGTGTACATAAAGTTTTGATGTACCAGTATCAGAAACATTGTACTGTGGCATGTCACAGTATCTGTTGTTGTTCCTTATTTGTTCTTTATCAGTAAAGACATGGTGGATCTCGGAGTAATCTCGGAGTACTGGAGTCATACTTGCAAACATGCTTGGATACATTTTCTTCATCTGGGTATGTTTGAATTGTGGGAAGCTAGCTATTTGAACATTTAACAGTAATGATAAATGGTGATCTGGTGTTTTTTGCAGGAAAATATTTAAGGTTTGTAGCAAAAGCATAATTTCGCCCTTTTTGTGTGAATTAATCAAATTCTTCCATATTGTGGACATAAATTTTGAAATCATCATAAATATTACACTATGGCATGTTATTTTAGTAAAAATATTCTCACTACATCCGTACCTGTCCCTAGTCCCTTGCTCAGTCGTAATGGCGTAAAGGCTGGGCGGGGGGGGGGGGCATGGAAGCCCTCAGTATATCGCTCTCGTTTACAACATCTAAAGACTCTAAACACAAGAAAAATTAAGTTTTGCATTGGAACCGATGTACCTCGCTCGTATAATTTGTTTAATATTCCAGCGTCTATTCTTCCGTGTATGTTCAGAAAACACTAGGTCTTACCTGACTGTTTATCCAAAACGTACCCGTTTCAAGCCAGTCTCAGTATCTTGAGTTGGCACCGTCTGATCTGTGAAGTCATGATGGGCTTTCCCCTGTCCTCTGGCTGCAGTTGTGCCTCTCAGACGTGAGCTGTGGGTAGCTGTTCTGTACTGGATTCTGACAGACGTGAGCTGTGGGTAGCTGTTTTGTACTGAATTCTGACAAACAACCTTCGCAATCTGGGTGTGTTGATTGTCTGAAACTAGCCTTTTGAATATTAACATTAATGATAAATAATAATGTTTTCTCCCTTGAAATCACTTTCCTTGTCAGTATACCATGTTTTATATGTTCAGTCTTGCAAAGCTGATTTTTTATATTGTTAATAGAGCTCCAGTGTACTGCCCAACCCGATGTTGCTGTCACAGTGAACTTATTTCTATGACTGGAATAATGATAATAATGATAATGATGATAATTCTCTATTACTATTAACATGTAGGAAACGGACAACAAAGAACGACAAAGACATTACACTTGTGTGAGTCGCTAGATTTATTCTCAGCCTTAAACGCTGGTTACAAATTATTTCATAATGCGGCCTACATATATATCTTCATATGATTTTATTTGGACATTTCTACTCACTATGTACTTTTTTAAAGACAGTACATAATACTATTATATTTGGTAAATATGACGAACAACAAATACACGAAAGGTTCTTAACTAAAGCAACAATCAGTAAGTTGCACCATTATATCCAATTGACATATCTATCAGATAATTGATGCAAAGGTAGTATAAGGCTTTAGAAATTGCTCTTTGATACTTAGATATAAATTGAATCTATTTCTTAACGCCAGTCAGTACCTTTACGATGTCAAAACAAAATTATGTATGACCGTTATAGCTTAGCATACAATTGATAATATGGCCACAGACTACCACGTTACAATAAATAATATGACCACATGTCGTCCTTGAATGTCTCGTTACGTCTAACCTCTACCAGGCTTCGGAAGGCGGCTACTGAAAAGCGTAGAAATTGGCCAAATTGACAGATAACTAGAGAGACGCTACATTTTGCCGCACCTTTCCAGCCACCCACCGAAGCCTGGTAGAGGCTAGCATTATTCGACCTTTTCTACATCATTTTATGGCATAGTACCTTCGCATTACGTTCTCTGCGACTCGTCTCTCCTTCATGGCCCGTACAAGAAGGTCCAGTCTAGTCAGACAATCCTCCAGTCGTTCTGATGCCAGCATGTCATCCTCTGGAAATCACCAGGAGATACAACAAGGACTTGCATCAGTCGCTACCAACGTATAAATGTGCTTCCGTAAAACGTTAATATGATAATAAGCTAATGTAATCACACCAGGATGAGCGCCTAAGCCTTTATGTGCTGTACTAGTTTATTCCTCGTCTCGCTCGAACCAAGTTTTAAAGAATCTTACATTACACACTGTTTTCCATTGGGGATTTAATTTCCTTCACGTCTACATGTACCAGGCCGGTGTTCGAGTTGTCTACTCTATATATTAGCTGACTCTTGGTCTCTCTCGGCTTCTTATTTCCTTTATAGGCTACCAAAAAGACTAGGGGTAGATGCTACAGCTTCAGGGTGACTCGTGTTATGAGCGACCAGTTTGTTTCATTCTGTATGACCCTATTTTCGCAGTAGCTGGTTAATCTCGGCACAGCTGCTCGTGAACTAGTGGGTTACATCTAGAGGTCACCTTACCCTGATTTTCAGAGTTTGTCAGACCGAGGAAGTTGGCCAGCCTCCTCCACAGCTCCTGCAGGATCTCCTGATGTTCCTGAGGCGGCGTGTAACCTCTCATCACCACGAGTGCATCGTTGATGATGGCCACCAGGATGTTGATAATGACGATGAAGACGATGCACAGATAGGTGTACAGGAACAGCGGCCCAATGATCCTGCTGGTGCTTAAGATTTCATCGAAATCAAATTTCCCCAGGGTACATACGAAGAGACTCTTCCCTGAGGCAACTATCGTAGAGTATCCCTGTATGTAAAACACATGTGCATATCAAGACTAGCCTTGCAACTGTTAATAGATAAACAAATCCACTTACCTTCAACGCTGATGACATCGCAACTATTTTATCTTTCTGCTTCAAGAACTGTTTTGATTGTTTGCTTGCTTTATTGCCTAATAAATGCATTAAACAGACATAGACAAAATGACACAGACGAAATATAGACCACCCGGGAGCTTGTCAGTACTTCGGTACCAACGTTAGAGAATTTCATAGGTGGGAAAATGGCAAAGGCATTGAGCATTGTTGCTACAAATAACAGAAAACACCCTACGAAATAAATAGGAAACAGTAAACCATCCACACCTGTATTTTGAGTCCAAAGACCAAATGTCCCAGCTGCACAAAGGAGAGAAACAGGACGCTGAAGTAAACGGCGAAGCCTGTAACCTCTGGCGCCATGCGCCGCATTGACGTCATCAACACAGACAACATCGGGTTGAAGCGGAGGAGGCGAAGGAACTTGAAGATGTTGATGAAGGCGACGGCGGCCACCGTCCAAACAAACGCCTGGTTCCACAAGACGGCCTGGTCGAAGCTGATGAATTTTGATGAATCTAAAAAAAAGATTATAAGGAAGAGTTGATTTAAGAAATGGACAGTAGCTGTCAGAGATATCTATGAAAGCTACTGTCTGTCTATATGCCCCATCAACGTATGACACATATCTACAAATCTAAAACCAATGAAAGAAAATCACTGAATACATACAAACTTATTACCACGGTAATGGGGAAGCTTGTCCAAAGTATTCCTCGACGTTATGTAGTCCACAGCAAAAACGGCAACGGCGCCGAAACAAACCAAAATGTTGGCAATCTCGAGAAGGTTCCACGGTTGGAGGCAGTAGCTTCTCCCTTGTTCCTTCATCAGTCTTACTTCCCTGTACAGCGTGTACAGGAAACAGACCACATACAGGATGTGCAGGGCCATGATGATGTATCCAGCCGTGCCGACGAACCGATGTAAGCGGTAGGTCCACACAGAGTGGGACGGCACCGCCCCTCCCGTGTTGAGAAACTCCACCATGTACGACATCGTGCTGAAGAAGTTGACATTGGCGTTGTACACCGTGAACTCGACAATGACGGCGCGCGTATAGCGGTCAATCCAGCCGGCTTCCTTCAGGTCAGCGATGACAGCGAGGGCAGCAGCTTTGTTTCTGCCGACTCCGGCAACGTAACCTCCCGAGCCGTACGTGGCAATGGCTCCCATCGCGGGGAGCTCGTCACCAGACCCGGGGAGGTGGTACGTCCAGGGCGATGGCTTGGAGAAATCATCCGAAGAATTGGAGGAGGAGAGGGGGGTCCATCCGGGCAGAAAGTCTCGCGTTTCCTCGTCTGAGAAGGAGTTCCCGCTGTTACATTTCTGACTCATGTAAAGGCTTGTGTACCGCCGATAAGAGTCACAGGGTCCTTAGAGTGGGTAGATGAAAAAAGGCAGTTTCAAACATACGTTGTGAACACATATCAAGGAATTGGGCATCTGGAAGCCTGGGCTTTTTAAACGCAGGTAAATATTCATGTCCTGCGTATTTTCTTGTCAATTCAACTCGTTTTCTCAAATATAGATATCGCTTCATGAAAATACACTGATCTAATATATTCCTATCTTTACACATGTGGCATGAGCCACTTATATGCATCCAGCGTACTTCCAGAAGGCAGAGGGACTTTTATCCTTACTGGGTTTGACTCGTATCTGCCTGTAGCGTGCAGCTCCGATCCGGTAAGAAGTGGTGTCGCTGATGAAAAGCTTCCGTCTCCAGCCGAGCCTCTCACTGTTGTAATGGTTTTCCTGGAACAGACCCGGAATAAGGACGTCGCGCGCCCACGTCCAATAGTCGTCCGCTGTACTGATCTGTGAACGAAGTGTCAGACTGTTATCTCTGAAAGACCAATCACCCACGCAGACGTTTGTGTGCGTATGTCTGTGTGTCTGTGTGCATATGTGCGCGTGCAGTGTGTGTGTGTGTGTGTGTGCTTTTGCAGATGTATTTAAGCGCGTATATTTGTGCTTTGAAAAGAGAATCGCTCTTAAAAACTGACCTCATCAAAATCCGACTGGAAGAGGTCTCCTATAGTGTTGTAGGCGTGGTGAGAGTAGACGTTTGTGCCACTATTCACCAACATAAGCAGAATCATCACAAACACGAAGAACCCGGCAACCTCCTGAATTACACTGTCCGTCTTTTTTCTGGTCTCCTCTCTTTCCTGCCGCTCTTTTTGAGATTTCTCCGTTTGGTCATGCTTAAGCAGAACTTGCCGCAACTGTTGTTTGGTCACTGGTGGAAAGAAAGAATGACAGGACTGCCAAATATTGTCGATATCTCAATTCAAAGACATTAATGTAATACTATCTGACCATGGGAAATTATTATCCATATTTAGCTCAACTTATCACATGAAGACTAAACAAGGTGCACCATACCTCTCGTGGTCGCCCTTTGAGATACCCAGGCAAACAGACTCTCTGATTGGTTGGAATCCTCCACGTCAGCGTGTTCTAGGACGACGTCATCCCGCGTCGATAACACCGCGACTTTCTTACAGACATAGGAGACCAGGGCGGAGACAGCCAGGATCTGTGGGAGAAGCATATCAACGACAACGGAATCTACCATCAACACAAGCCACGTATATAGAGAGTAATTATAACCTTTTGCAATGCCATGAAAGAATGACATGGACAGAGAGATTAAGTATGAAATTTAGTTTTCTGTCTTGATCTGGTTCCTTCGAGATAATGAGGAAATCCTCTGCACTAAAGGTTTCCTCTGGTTGTAAGTTCCAGTGACATGATGGCACGATAACAGAAAGCTCTTACCTTGAATGGCTCCACAACAAGAACATCTTGAACGAAGGACATCAGGAACGTCTTCAGCCACGCGTTTGCCTTCACAGCTCCCCATTCCAGGCTGTAGAGAATAGTAAAAAACGCCGATACGCCACAGCTGAGGACCAGGATCGACCAAGCCACGTACACAAAACAGTAGGGAAGAAACCGAGAGGAAGACCGGGTTTTCAACAGCATAGACCTGATGTCTTCCCTCTCTGCGACATTCACGGCGTTCTTGGCCGGTTGTTGCTTTTCTCTGCACCGGCTGAAGAGCTGGAGGAGAAGCACGTTTACGGGGAGGACACACAATGACGTCATCGCGCTGACGTATAACTCGTGAAGGGTGAAGGAGACTACCCCAAGATTCACCACGTTATTCTGCTGCAGGTTGTCCTCCGTTCTGTACCACATGGCGTTGGCAATCATGGTGGTGTAAACGACACACAGTCCACAGGAGAGGCGCTGGACCCGGCTGAAATGGCTGCCACTGGGACAGAACAACATGGAGAGCCAGATGTGCTCATTTTTAAAATCGTTCACGGCCTTTGTGGTGAAAAGATGGAAGGATGACAAATCTTGTTCTGTTGCAGCTGGAAGAATCCGGCTGATTCTACCATCCCCGTGGTCCAGCGATAGCCACTGGTCACACAGGAAACTGTTTCTGTAAACCACAACAAAAAATATTTGACTTCATGGTATAACTTAGTTGGTACTGAACATGTATTGTTTTCCTCAAATGTTTATAATTCGTACTTGCAAATAACGCATTCCATGAGCCACATGCCATCGTGTATCGTGTGTGGTTGAATGAACCATTGCTCAAATGTGCTTACGTTTCTCCTGATTGCAAATCTCGCACGATGACTTTATCTAACTTCCAAGCCCTGTCGTTGCCCCCCTGGTTGTCGTGCCAGATTTGCAGCCGAAGAAGGTCGCCCAGACTTTCTTCAACAGCGAGCAAGAAGATGTCCACGCCGCCAGCCTGAAAGGTCTAAAGTAGATAATTGTAGATAAACTTAATGATACACACAGAGACAGATCATAAACAATACCCACAGTAGTTTGATGTGATAAAAATCAAGAACAAATCGTTCTACTGAACTGGTCGTCTAGAGTTAACAACTATAAAACGTCCGGCTGAATCTTTACCTCTGGGCCTTGCTTGAACACCCTGACTCCGGTACTCCCCTTGTCCCCAAGCAATGTAAACCCCACGTTGGACTTGGTTCCAGACCCTCTGGCGTAACTGGTGTAGACGGACATCTTGTAATAGTACCTGTCAGTGGAGCGGTTGTCGGGTAGGCCATGGACAATCAACTGTCCAAAACAACAAGAAATCGTCTCAAGTTGTTAAGAAACTTTAAATCTGTAGAAGTAAATTGGAATAGTCAGCAAAGAAAATGACTGACGTTTTCATTAAGAGTAGATTGAAGATGTTTACGTCATGACCTTACCTTCTTGAAACCTGCTTTGTCGACCTTCCTGAGAAACATGACCCCGACTAAGTACAAGGCTAATGACGTCAGAACGGTAGCGAGGACCCCTGCGTTGTTCCCTATGTCCGTGAACTTGTCGAACACGGTGGTCAGGTCAATCGTGTTCGGTACGGTGACGAAGCCAGTCCCGAACGCCGTCATGTGGTTGCAGGCGCAGACAGTCGCGGTGATGGTGGAGGTAGGGTGGACCTGTCGAGATGAAACAGGTGTCGTGGAAAAGGTGAACTATTTACCCGAATTTTCGACCAGTTCTATGGTCTTCCTCGGACCATGATAACTTAGGAACTGATTGCCACATTGTCTTACAATGTATGTTCTTTTATACCTGAACACCATTTATTTTAAGACTAAACTCTAACAAGCTCTTAGTACAGTTGCCCAGCTACCCCAGAAGCAGTAAGTGTAGGGTAGCGTAGTACTAATATATAGGAAAGACTGTACTTTTGGCAATTACGTGTTGATTACAAACTAGCACCCTAACCGACGTGAAACCAACGACCACATTGTCACAAAGGACCATGGCCAATAGATCGGATCTTACTCTACATCCGTTCGGTAGCCAGGTCTCTGTGTCCTCCGCCCAGTAACGACAGCTCAGACGCCAAACCTCCAGGCTGTAGAACTGTGCCCCATTTACGTCTGACTTGTCAGCGGGGTCCACAACAAATACGCCGTCTTCGACTACATCTTGGTACACATCCTCCAAATCTAAGGCTAAGCAAACGTGAACACAATCATCACCTGTTATCATCATCATCACCACCACCATCACCATCATCTCGCGCTCTACATTTCTCCTCTTTCTCTTTCTCTCTCTCTCTCTTTATACACACACACACACACACACACACATAAAAATACACTTCATAATATGCAAGTGTTGTTCAAAAGTGGTTTATCCTCACCAGCAACTTCTACTCCGACCGCGTATTTTCCAGTGTGATTCTTTCCCGACACAAAAAACGCGACAGACCGAGGCTCGGGTGAGCCATTGGGAGAAAATGTCGGTTTCCAGTCCTGCCACGGGAAACAGACTTCACAGTTTCTACTATGGGCCAGTCCGCCTCCTCTCCCGAACACGGATATCCTGGAACTCCTGTTCAGGGCGGTAACTTGGACGATGAACGCGTCATCTACGTCTGAAATGTTGAACACGTGCTGCACCACGCTCTCATTTCCCGTGGAATCCACTCCATGAACCAGTCCGCTGGAAGGGCGATCTCCGTTGGTGGCAATGGTGATCAGGATGTCATCTTCTGCGTCCTTGATGTCCCCAATGGACATGGTCGATGGGATCAAGGAGATGTCGTGGACGGCAGAGTTGATGATGTTTGAGTTGTTTCCCCAGGTGAAAGGGTTGGCATGGTAACTGATGAGCTGGAGAGAAAGTAAGAACGCTAGATATGAACACATCAGGAAACAATTTACTTAGTATGGACGTATTTAGTGGCGCTCACATAGAGACATGAGAACAAAGCATTCAAAGTTTCCAGAGAATATAAATAGCATTCCTATACACATTTGAAAAACATATACCTTCACATACTTATCATATAACATTAAGACTTTAAGACTAAGACATTTGACAAGCGTCGAACATGCCCAATGTTATAATAAGGTGCCACATACCTTGGTGTCAATGTACTTGGGCACGAACCCTTTGAACAGTTTTTCAGCAGGAGGAAAGACGACGTTTACGCGTGTGCCGTTCAGCCGATGACCTGCCAGATCCTTTCCACGCATTCTGTGTACCTGCAGGTTGAGTCTGTCGGAGTCTATCCGTACTCCGGGGCCGCCGGGTGTCAGCTGTCTCCTCAGACGGTCCGCCATGTTGTCTAGTACCTCACGACCTCCTCCAACGACGACGCTTTTCTGGCAAATCATATGTTTTTAGCAAAGACGTAGATAATGTACATAATCTTGAACCGCAGTGTCTATTTATTTCATTAAATATTTAGCAATTCAGCTTGAAATATCATAAGACACACAGATTAGAATGATCAACGGGACAATGGAAACGAAAATACCATAACATCTAACATCTAAGAAATCTACCTTTTGGTCACTTTCCCTTTTTTTCTCCCGCTCCTGATCTGCTCGCTCTTCGGGTGACAACAAATCATCATTCCTGGTAGGATCGACGTCAGCCTGGGCAAGTGCATCATAGACGAGGTGCCCAACGGAAAGTAACATCGCATCTAAATCGCAAAACCAAACTTGGTTAGCACATGGTACAAGGATGTATACAGGACTAGCGACAGTGGCTTGTAAGGGCCCGGGCATGTTTGTTGCACGTATGGAAGCAAACTTTGGGTATTCTCTGGATAGTCATGCATACGTGTACAACATGCAGATGTCCCGTTGTCTTGGACTCTTGAGGAGGGTCGATTCTGTTCCAGTCTGCTTGAAAAGTGCTAGGACATGGCAATAACTATATCAAATCCAGTCCAACGTACCGTTAACATGGATTGACCAGACGCTGACCTCTAATGCTCTTTGATTCTTTACTTCAATGGTACAAGTACTTTAAAACGGACTGACCAGATCTGCAGGCCAGTACCAAAATACTCCAGTACAGAACCACCATTTGACACGACTGTGATCAAACCTGCGGCTGAATCAAACCTGCTTCTCAGACCTCGATACCATCTTACCTGTACTGGTGCGCATGATGTTTTGCGTCGTCCCTGATTTGCTCCCAAGTACGTCGTTCAGGTTGTCCAGAACAGTGAGGTAGGAAAGCTTAAGGTGCAATCAGTGAAGAAAGGATATTCATTTATGATAAAGGAAGAACACTTTGCTTCGTGGTAAAACTGCACCAGCTAAACGGTTTTTGCCACATATACTGAAATATGTCTTAAACATTCAAATCTGGCCACTTTCCATCAAACAAACATCCAAACAAACGTAAAAGATAATACCAAAGACATGTAAAGTTTAAGCTACTGATGTATACAGAAAAAACGAACCTGTTCTTCCAATGACTTGTTTCTACACTCTTTGAGGACAGCTTCACATAACTGGGCAAGAACACCAGCAGTGATTGTGGTCTGCAGACGCTCTGATGCAATATTCAGTGTATCCAAGGCTAGCTTGCAGGTCTGGCGCACATAATTATACTCAATAAAGGATACATATTACGTAATTAAGGGTTAATGTCCCGTCCCGAGGTGAATATGGTGTGATAAAGCCTTGTCAGTTGCTATAACCACCGAATAAAGCCACCAAGTGAGCGCAGCGAACGAGGTGGCTTTATGAGGTGGTTATAGCAACTGACAAGGCTTTATCACACCATATTCACCGAGAAAGGGCGGGCCATTAACGCTATTATCATATAGCTTACACGATAGCCTATCCAAACTGATGCAGTGAAGAGTGACACAATGTACAATTTACCCCTTGCACATGCTGAATAGAACATAGAATATTTGTTCCATCTGGAGTCACCTGAGGTCACTGGGGGGTTCATGTTCTATGGCCTTCTATCTGGGTCACAGGCAGGGAACAGGTGTTCTTATGGGAGTCATTGGAACACAACTCAAGTTATTTTTGGATTTTTTAGAAGTAGAGCCGTGTTCTATTGGGTCACCTGAGGTCATATGCGGGTGATTATTCATTTTGTTTAATGTATGGATTGGGATGAATAAATACCCGATTTTGACTCTATTTGTGACATTACGGCGACATAAAGAATGTGGAATGGAGCCTTCTGATTGGTCAACGTCACCCGGCTATATGATAATACAGAATAAATCGGGCAACTGGAACGAGAATGTCTCATTCGCTGATGAAAGATAGTGGATGCTATCTGAAAAGTTTGATGTTTCAGAGGATGTAACTAGTTGCTTGACCTTAATATGACATGTGAATAGACTAAGAACAAGGCAATTTACTTTTCTTCAATTTCTTTCAATTGTAGCTGGAGATGCTCTATGCCATGATTATGTAACTGTGCAAAATACAACGACTAAATACAATCTTAAGCAAAGCTCTATAAACACAAACTGTTCAGAAAACGTTCTGGCCAGGTATCTACTCACGTTATCGCTCAATGTTTTGTCAGTACTGTCAGCGGCAACTGGATGGTCATCCAAATCCTGTGGTACCAAGCGTAAACATCATCAGTGGATTAAAATGGCATGAGCATTGGTTGTTTTTTAAGCGTCCTTGGCGAGGACAACTCTTGAAGTTGTTCTTGAAATTCTCTGATAATGAAAAACACGTATCTAATTGCAGGCATAATAGCACTTCGATCTAACATAAACATACCAGCTTCTGTATACGTACCTGTAACATCATGATCAGCTTCTGTATGTATTTCCTATTAGAATATTACACTGAACGACATGCCTCGCGTAATTTTAGCACATCTATAGCTGCAAGCTACTGATGATGCCCCTAATGTACTTGTGGCCATGTTGTTGCTTACCGGTTGCATTACCGCAGCGAGTGCTTTTACAAGCGCCACAGGATCCGTTGAGGCGATGTCAGTGACATCCACGGCATCAATGGAGGGGATGGCGAGACCCTCGACCATCAGCGGTGGGAAATCCGCCTGAAACGACATGGCGTTTGGTAGAATCTAATACTAAGTGTACACTAGGACTCTGTACCTAATTCCCGTACTGTACCTGTGAAATTATTTAACTACAGATCCGGACATGAAAATTTAGTGTACTGGTACACTAGTGGACACAGTAGCTCAAAATGAATGCTTATTATAGGTTGTTATTGAGAAGTTGCATATTAAATTAGCTAAAAAAAGAAATCTAACTTATTCCAACGCCAAAAAACTAGGAAATTTGGTTTATTCTATTTGACACCTTGAGTATGATAACCCATACATTACCTGTAGCTGTTCGTCGTCGGCCGTGTCGGAAGGACTCAGGTCTTGTTCATGAAGATCTAAAAACAAAGACTCCGTCAGTGAACTTCATTATAACCTTTTCCATCTGGTTACCTCACATATTTCCTCACATTATTTAAGGGCGTGTTACATTAGTTCAATTATACTTAGTATGTCACTTTAGCACATACAACTGACATAGATTAACGGTCAACCCACCGTCACCCTCCTCAGCGGAACTGCTGCTGACGTCAGACTCTTCTTTGGGATTTTCACTTTCCCACGACTCGTAACTCGATGGTGGTACAAAGTCTCCGAACCCGTCGTCACTTTGCACCTCCACATCATCATCGCTCTCTTGGTCTGAGTAGGAACAGGAATTGATGCATTGCCTTGTCAGCAGATTATGAGCCAAAACTACGTACACATGTAGCATTTCGGCCTAATATGTTTTGATTTTATTTGGGCTCACAATTAGCTCATCGATCAACACTTCTATTCCTCCAGTGGTCCTCACACACTAATACATAAAATCACATTAGAGACAGGGGGACTTCAAGATGACAATTATACATAAGATACATAACATACATATATATAACAATAACATACATGTATATAACAGAGAACAGGCCTAGGCATAAAAGAAATCCAACTTCATTGGATAACTGTCCTTCCGTGTTGTGTACGAGTAACATTGCACGACCGAGACATGCGATGCAGGAAGCATTTCTTTTCAACATTTAATTTTAGTTCTGGTAGACTATTGTTGATCGTTTTGTACGCCGGCTGGTCTTTGACTGTAATCATAAGACTAATTATTGTGTCTCAATGCTGTCTCAAACATACCATACAACAGTAGGGAACCTGAGCGTACCTTGCATAAGGTCATCCATTGATGCTGTATCCGACATCAAGCTCTCTGTAGTATGTCTTGCTCGTGTGGATAGCGACGTAGTGACTATAAAAAAGGTAAGTTAAATTATTCTAACGTTAATTATAAAAGGTATAGCATACTTGCCATAAAAAAATGAATGTGAAAGTTCGTTTATTCAAAACCATTCGTTTTAAATGAGCCAAGGTTTCGGTGACCATCTGTCACCTTAAGCAGGGGTATAAAGATATTGCATACTTGCAATAGTTAAGGAAGAGAAAATTATTCTTAGCGAAAGTATGAGGTCGTAAAACACCGTACAAGATAACCTGCCTCGCAAAATGACAGAATTGCTCGCAAAGCAACATCATAAATTTCTCAACATTGTTAATAAGGGAGTTATAGGAACCGCAAACTCACTGGTTGGTTCTGTAGATGACACGCCCGCAGGCGCTGATGTTTGCTGCTCAGTAGCCGATTCTGGGGCTGATGACAAACAAAAAATCGTAACGTGTCTCACTGAATGTTAACATCTATGTTGACATGACGCAATCCGTAGGGCTCTTTTTCCTGAATTCAGAGTAAAGCGTTGCCAAGGCACCCCCTACTATTACTACTACTACTACTACTACAACTACTACTACAACTACTACTACTACTCCTACTGCTACTATTACTACTACTATTACTACTACTACTACTACTACTATTCGAGGTTTGAAACCCGGCAATAGTTTAGAAAGATCGTGTATAGTACATGAATAGGACAACCAATGAACCATGAACGAGGAAGGTCCTAAGTCGTTCAGTGTGATATAGCTAGCTGCCGCCGCGCCGCCTGCCTGTGAAGCTGGTGTGTTACGCCGAAGGGCGGTTATACCAGCTCATGATACTAATACAGATACAGATACCTGTTATCCAGGGGACAGCCACACCCTCACTAACGCCAGCCGGACCGACGGCATAGAGCTTGGCGACATAACCATGAACAGGGATCAGCCCTGTCACATCCGTGCTTGTTAGCGTGTTGCTGAGGGAAATGTTTACAGCTTCCGATGGAGCATCGGCCGGTATGAGCTCCAGCACGTACGCGACAACCTCGCCACCTGGTGCCGCCCACATCAGGGTAGCCGAACGGTCCGTTACGGTTACCACGTGGAAATCACTTGGGGGATCCACAACTGTGATGAGACGGAAAAAACGTTTAACAAAAATTCCTGTAAGAATATTTAGAGTTCTTGAGATTTTCTGATACTTTTGATTGTGAATTTTTAGATGATTCTGTGCATATTCACCGTCACTAGCTCTCAGACTACGGGGAGACCATTTTGACCTCAAATACTATTCGACCTTCTTGTCATTTTGCGATTACACTATTTCCAACCCCACTTCTTTACTCTATTTCCGTAGCCCTTGGGCGACGCTCTACATAAGAGCACGGTAGACCTTCTTCTTCTTCTCTACTCAATCTAATGTATTCAAATAACTGCGGACATAAATTAGTAACGAGTAACTGTCCTAAATCTACGTCTTCTACTTCCCTTGACACACATTTTCGTTACCTACCAGACAGAGTGTATTGCTGGAGACTAGCGGCGCTACCCACAAGTTCTGCAGTAATGGCTGTGACCGTCACGTTGTATTCGACCCCTGGCAGCAGTCCCCGTAAATGCACTTCCGGGCGATGCACGTACAACTGGTCCATTTCCTGGCTGTCCATCCGATGATATGTAACTCGATACCCGATCACTAAAGACGATGTGACGTTCCAGGTCAGGTAAAACCCTTCTTCTGTCACCAGCGAGACCGTCAAGTTTTGAATCTCGTCGTTTCCTGGAATGTACAAACAACGTTTCCTGGAATGTTACAACATCGTTTCCTGGAATGTAACAATATCGTTTCCTGGATTGTTACAACATCGTTTCCTGGAATGTAACAATATCGTTTCCTGGAATGTAACAACATCGTTTCCTGGATTGTTACAACATCGTTTCCTGGAATGTAACAATATCGTTTCCTGGAATGTAACAACATCGTTTCCTGGAATGTAACAACATCGTTTCCTGGAATGTAACAACATCGTTTCCTGGAATGTAACAACATCGTTTCCTGGATTGTTACAACATCGTTTCCTGGAATGTAACAACATTATTTCCTGGAATGTTACAACTTCTTCCAAATGAAAAATTGTCCATTTTGTCAATTGTATATGATTCATCGATTCTGTTCATTCATGCTCCCACTGACGTGCATAAAGCAACATGAATGTAACAGAAAACTGAAGACAGGAAACGAGGGCATTTGGCCTCCAATTTGACCGTCTTGTCAGTCTGCAGTTACACAATTTCCCTCTCATCTTGTGAATCAACTGTATTCAAATGGCTACGGACACACACACACACACACAAGCAAACAAACAACAAGACCACTGATGACAAATCATCCCAACACAGAGGCAATAAGGTCTTACCTCGTAACAGTATCGTCCTTAAGTAAGATAGGTAGATATGGCTTCTTGGCGTCACGAGGTATATCTCCAGCAGGTATGAGACTTCATGTTCAACATCGGTGAAGTTGAAAACAGTCGTGTTCCAAGAAACATCCCAACTGGTTGTCAAACCGTCCCTAAGATTTGTTTGTGCAACTAGCACGTTGCTACGGAAACATATGATGAAAGAGAAACAAATTGACGTTTTTTGTTGTTACGTCAGGGTTCTCAACGAAAAACTCAACGAAATTTTTTTGCTCGATTTTTAATGTTAGATCTAACTGGTATACAAAATGTATAGTTTTTCTCACCATAAAATATGACGTGTTTGACTAATTTTCTTGCTCGATTTTTAATGTTAGATCTAACTGGTATACAAAATTGTTTTTAAATGGCTGATGTCTTCAGTGTATCCTTTCGGGATTTTTTGCGCTGGTTTCTCGTATACGGTATAGTCGTCTAGTACTAGTATATAGTGTGGTTTTGAACCTACCTTAATTCACAGGGGTACCTCTCTGAAACGTTCCATCGAGCCAACGCTGTGCCCGGCTCAACTTCTTCTACCAAGATCTTAGTTACATTTGTTGTCGGGTCTGAAAATGTCATAATTGTTTTATATATGCTAGAAGGAAACGATTTCCAATCAATCAATCAATCAATCAATCAATCAATCAATCAATCAATCAATCAATGTAACACTACGTAATTCAAAATAAGTGAAGGAGTCTGATAAATCGCTCTCTCTGTGATTGAGAATGAAGTGAATGCTAGCAAATGATGTTTGAAACGAACGTATGACTCTACGACTCTTCAATTCAAGGAATTTATCCAGTTCATTTTGTATAACGTAAGATTCTATGTGGATGTCTAATCTCCATCGACACTTCATGAGTAAGCAATGGATAGACACCAATCAAATTCCTGATAACTTATACCACAGATTCTGCAATGAAAATTCTGCAAAGGGAAGTTTGGAAATGGACACAGACTCTGCACGACCAAAACAGCCATGCGGATGTACCTTCTCTGACGTCACACGGAGTGGACATCGTCACCAGCTCAGTCACCTCGTGAAGCGGCAGTTTCCTCAGGACGTTCCGGCCATCGGAGCAGTTCACCAGTTCTACCACGTGCACGCCATCCCTGTTAGCAAAGCAAACTTCTCTCCCCAACACCCTCCAGCTCAGCGCGTCATCAATGACGTCAAACAGTATGGACTCTCTGATTGGTGAGCAGGTAGCTATGGCAACCGTGTTGTTGGGAAGAACTTCAAGGCACTGTGAAGTTTCTCCGTTTCGAAGAGTTCCTTCTGCGGTGTGCAGCCAATGATTTTGAGGACGTTGCGCCAAACAGGGGCCAATCTGTGGTACACTTGTGACGCCGTCCGCATACATACACGAGCACGTCATTCGTGGAGTCCATTTGAAGAGGAAATAAGCTGTGAATAAGATCATAGATTTGCAATGGTAAAAGGCGACATATTCGTGATTGCATCGCATTTACGTAACTCAGATGAATAAGAATTCATGTCATGGTAGACGTTAATTCTCAGCATTCAGCAAAGAACATGTATGATTACGATTAATTTCCATTGTTTATTACAAAAAGAGCAACTTTAAATGATGGCAAAATGTTGTAACTGTGACAAGAAATATTACTGAATGGGATGTTGCATAATTCTGTTGATTGCATTGAAAATTTGTCAAACCGCATCGAGCAAAATAATTGAAAATATGCTAACTTTCGAAATGCCTCTCGAAATATGAGACGCTTGGATCCGTGACCAGTCGTTCAACTCCGTCTTTAGGAGCCGCCCATCCAAACATCTCGCAGTTTTTTGTACCGGCCTTGTATTGGAAAGACTGGCAGAAAAACGCGGGTTCCTCCAAACACTTGATCGCGCAGTCAGCAAGAGACAAATGGCCAAGAGACAAATGACATGCTTCGGCGAGTACCGGCCTTGGTGAGCTCCTGCCGATGTGTTGCCGGAATCGTGCGAGTGCAGGTATCAATTGAAAGTCTGTAACGTAAATATGTACATGTATCTAGCTATAGTGGAAAATTCTTACATGTACATGTACGTAGCTTGCTTATCCTTGGTGTGTGGGGCCTAAAGTCTGTTATGCCAAACAAAGAAACAGACCAAACGTGTTTCAAAGAAAGGGTCTTACCTTCAGGAAAGGCCGTGATGAATTGTGCCTCAATGAAGCCGCTGGTGGAGGCAGCTGTATACGCGCTGAGGACAGTCATCTTCACGGAGTCTGTCTTGGTCGTCTTGAAGACGAACTCGTCGTAGTAAACTTGCGTCACGTCGTACTGGTCACTTCCCTCACGCTTCCTGAGTTTGACCTGCGTCCACATGACAAGTTAAAGTCTAATCTACTCCATTGCAATGTAATTGTTTTCGAAGATACATGTACAAACTATGAACTAACATAGAACATTCATCATCGGCAGCGACAGTCCTCCTGAATTCTGGACAAGCGGGGTCGTGTGGCGTAGCGGCAGAGTGCCCGACTCGGAATCAAAAGGTCCCGGGTTCGAGTCCTGACATGCCACAGATCTTGTGCCCTTGGAAAAGGCACTTTACACGACTTTCCTCACTTCGCTCAGGTGAAAATGAGTATTGTATTGTTCCCTATGTAGGTGGCGGCATTGGTATAAGTTGAAAAAAACTTGAGTGTGCCGTCACCACGTCTAGCGATTACATGTTGGAATGTATAAAAAAATTCTAAACACCATCCTGCCAGGAGAAGAGGGACGGGAGTCTGTAGTACAGGATCTAAGAAAAGGTACTCACGTCTACATAGGACCCGTCACTGAACGTCAGCCTGATTGTCCTACTCTGGCCTGTGATCCACGTAGACTGTGCGATCTTGGCTCGGTTGATGAAGTAGTATCCATCGAACTTCAGCTGAACCCACGAGCCGATCCCCTGCGAACTCAGCCAGCCGAGCTGCCCCGGCCGTGGCGTCAGCTGACCGTCAATGATGCCGCCACAGGTAGCGGCGTTTTGTGACGCGTCCACACACTGCCCGCCACGGGACAGAGCGGCGACGTTTATTCCTCCGATATTTGCTGTGAAGGAACCAGGTGATTCAGACAAATACCACCATTTTAAAAACCAATGCTACGCTACGCTACTACCAGTTTCTTCCACACGTTGTCAAAAAGATTTCACTATAAGAGTGTTTGGGAGCTAGTTGAATTGTGGCACAATGTATGTCTGCCATACTTAGAACTTTTACCAACATGAGTGAAGAAGCTATTGATGGGTTGTGATAATAGTGTATGCTATCCTGTAATGATTACTATCGTTACCTTCATCGGAGACAGGGTAAACCTCGAGTTCGCTGAACTGCAGAAGTCGCGCTTCTCCCAGACGGATCCCCACATACCGACCCCGCAGGCCTCCACACGAGACGGTTAGTTCTGACTGGTTGACGGCGATGCTGTGGTTCTGCCCGCATTGAGGGTTCGCCGACACGTGCCGATGGTCGCCGATGTGGATGAAGAAGGGGTTGAGGTCGACAGAGCCGGGTTTGACCACAGTCACCCTGTCGATGGACCACTGTCGGTCTAAGTCCACATACCACCAGGGATGCACTTCTGGAGAATCAAACGTGGGACATTGACTTTCTTATTAACGTTATTTGGTTGGTCTTACGTCTTTGTATCTATTATTGCACCCATTATTCCAAAGGTTCCATTGATTTTTAAAATATAACCAAGACGTCAAAACAGAACGGTTGTGCCCAGATGGACGGAAATACGACAAGAAAACGAATGTAATTTTGACACGGAAATGATGCCATAACATGTCCGGGGCAAAAGTTACAAAAACCGGAAGAACAAATTTAAAGGACAGCCACCAGGAGGACAAAAGCGACCTTGACCTTCGTCTTCCCAAGACCTCCTTAAGTTATACTGACCACAAATATGTGGAAACTAAAACAGACTAGACACAGCATGTAGATTGTGTATTTATATGCTAATTGTATTTTATTGTGTGGCGCTGTTAAAATAAGTTATAAACTCGGGTGCAGTGTCTCGCTGTTCTTGTTATGTTTTGATGAATAAAAAAAATCTGTACAACAGCTAGCACGCAACAACTCTCAAAATGGGAAACGCAAACGTCGACATTGTGAAACTAACCTGATGGAGACACTTGACAAATAAACTTCCTGTCAGCATTGGTACACGGTCCATCGTTCCATGTGTTCTTTTTGTCGGGCGATCCGTTTTCGGGAACGTACTCGGCACAGTCCTCGTCATAACTGTTGTTGGGTTCTCCTTGGCCCCAAGGTCTGAAGGCCGCGCACAGAGGAACGTTATCGTCCCACATCCAAACTCCCTCCTGGTGGACATCAGTCAGTCCAAAACGGAACCAAGCATTGGTGTCGACGGCATTTTTCAGATCGATGAGGAAGCTGTTGGTTGCAGCGTCGCGGGGCATGGCAAGGGTTCCCCCGTCTAAAGAACACCTACTGACTGCGCCGCTGTAGGTTGTCCTGTTGTTGAAGGCCTTGTAGCACAAGAGACTAGGTTGATGGTAAACGTACCCGTCTGGGCAACCTACTTCAAAACGAATAAGGTTATTATTTCAACTGCATGTACTCGTGCTTGATACACTCTGTAGACAATCATCATTTGATGCAAGATCGAAGCAGTGAATAAGATTTGACGGAAGTTTTAGGCGGAATCGAAGCTTCGACGGAATGATTGCATTTCGACATACATGACATACATTATTACATGATTAATGTTTTCAACGTACTTAATTTTGACATGGAAATTGCAGAGGCATATGGCACCATTTCCGTGTAAAATTATTGACGTAAGTAACTTGGCGTTTTTTGGTATATACGTCACGTTTTGGGGGTTAAAACGCCACGTATCCTGGCCGTGTATGACGTATGACAAAACTCACGGAAACGTTACGTACATATTGTACTGCAATTTCCGTGTCAAAATTACGGGCGCACAACGTCGCTTTTGTAAGTCAATACGTCACGCACGTTTATGAGGGCCTGCAAGGGGGGGTAGTGAATACAAATTACGCAAAATCTTCGCCGCCTATTACGAATTACGTTAAAGTCTCAGAGCTGATTACGACTTTACGATTTGCGGCCAATGTCCTATTACGAATTACGTTGATTTTTGGGGAGGCTGCCTACGAATTACGAAGTCTAAGACAGCCTGATTACGCCTTACGAAAAAAGGCTTGCAGGCCCTCGTTTATGGCATCATTTCCGTGACGAAATAACGAACAAAGTATGGAAAAAGTGTGTTTCATGCGCTGTGTATGGTTTTAGCCGCAGAATACAGTATTAATGGGCTACCCCCCGGAGAACAAAGTAGTAAGGATGAAATTCATGAAGCCTGGTTAGAAATTCTTCTGACGTGGACGCAACCAATAGCAAAGAAAAGCGGTGATAATATCATAAAATGTACAACAATGTACGTAACAACTCTCAAAACTTCCAAAATGGAAAGCGCAAATGTCGATATTTTGATGAAGCTGACCTGAGACTTGACAAATGAACTTCCTGCTGCCCGGGGCACATGGTCCATCGTTCCATCTGTTGAACAACCTTTCGGGTAAGTACTCGACACAGTCCTCGTTACGATAGTTGTCGGGGTTTCCTGGGCCCCAAAATCTGAAGTCGCCCAGAGGAACGTTATCGTCCCACATGAAAACTCCCTCCTGGTGCTGATCAGTCAGTCCAAAACGGAACAAAGCGTTGTTGTGAACGGCATTTTTCAGATCGATGAGGAAGCTGTTGGTTGCAGCGTCGCGGGGCATGGCGAGGGTTCCCCCGTCTAAAGAACACCTACTGACTGCGCCGCTGTAGCTTGTTACGTCGTCGAAGGCCTTGTAGCACCAGAGTGTAGGTAAATGGTAAACGTACCCGTCTGGACAACCTATTTCAGAACGAATAAGGTTATTATCTCAACTGCATGTACTTGTGCTTGATACACTCTGTAGACAATCATCATTTTGATGCAAGATCGAAGCAGTGAATAATATGGATAGATTGACGTAATGATTGCATTTTGACATATGTGACGTATCGATGCCACAAAACATGACGCATAGACCTAAAAACGTAACGTTTTCTACGTAAACGACAGAGCCACATGGACGTTACGTATCCGTGCGTTTTACCATGCGTGCCGGTGGCCAGTGGCAAACGTGGCGAATTGACATAAAATACGTGAAGTATATAACCAAAACGTGACGTTTTTTTCAAGTATGTGATTTTGACATGGATATGATGCCAATAGAGCAACATCCCTCATAGTCTCTGTAACAGTTTAGCCCACTCTGAATTAGCCCAACCCAGCGATTATGAATCTCAACTAGGTCAGCTTTTATGAGTAACGCTGGATCTAAGTTCTACCACTTATGTCCCCACACCGAACGCATGTTTGATTAGACTGACTCAATCTAAATATCTAACCTGGCTGCCATCCTATTTCTAACGGGACTCCTCGCACTCGTTGGATAGAAAAAAATCTTTTTTTTTCGAGCCAACAATTGGACGAAGCCCAGCTACAAATCGGATGGCACCCGGGCTTCTAAATCTTGCTGAAATCTCTACAAATGGAACCAAACACACCGACCTTGACTAGAAGCGTTCGCTGTTTTGACGCACGTGCCGCCGTTCTCGCCGCCGCAGCCGCTCGTGGTTCTGACGCCGTCATTGCCGTGCCACGAGGGACCGTCCACGTCACTTGAGGTCGACTGATGTGTCCTCTTCCCCAGCGCGATGTTTGTTCCAGCTGAGTTGTAACAACAAATAAGTTTATATTAAAACTCAAGTGAGACGGCGGGCGGTATAAACTTCCTGGCACGTCATGACCAATTGCTCATAACGTCATGTGTCCATAGGTTCACGTGATCCAGTTGTTGTTTTATGATTTTCTGAGAAGCACGTACAGTTGAAAATTCCTTGGGATAATGTTTGTGTTTGAAACAAAGTACTGTGTTATTAAACTACGCGCACAATAAATTGCTGCCTGTGCGATGACAACTGCGCTGGACTTCGACTCGAAGATACAAAACCTCCTGACCTGTTTTGTGGAAACAGCTCGGGTGCCCGGGGTACGGATCCCAGCAGCACCCGTGGAGCTCGCACTCGCGAGGTGTGGCGTCATCCCAGGCACATGACTGCCTAGCAACGAGGGGCGTGGCACATCCCAATGCTTAAAATAAAAAACAAGAAATCGGAAATTTCAGAACTCCGGGAAGTGTATGAGTACTTCGTAAATATACTATTTAAAAACATCCGCCGGAAAAATAAACGCCGCGGCACACACAGGTCTATCAAATATATAAATCACGACAGTTACCATCATTCCAGCGCGCACAATCGGCATATCTTACTATAAAACAAACGGAACATGGGTGCAGTGTGAATGATACTTTCAGGAAATCTTTGACATAGTTTTGACCGTTGTTGTACAAAAAGATACATCGACGTGAAAGAAAATCACTTACTTTCTGACATAGGCTGCATACAATACGCGCTAAATGTGATTGAGGAAGGTCGAACACCCCAGCTGATTATTCCTGTGTTTCGAGTAAACGAGTAAACAATGAGTCTATCGAGGATGTATCTGGCAGTCCGGTCGGTCAGCCATGAAACTGGAGTTTCTGACATGCCGGCGTAAAACGCGGCGAGAAGCTCGCTGTATGACGCCATCCTGCTGTGGAACTTTGAACAGTGATGGTGAGCAGCGGGGAAATCAAAGCTGCCTCTATGGTTGAACACTCCCAAAACAGTACCCGGGTCTGGGAATGGAAGCAAAGAACATATATAAATGGGTTATTGCAAATTGACACAAAACTAAAACAACATTACAGCCTAATAATACAATGTAAACTAGAGTTCCCCGATCTCATACCTTCGCCAAATGACTGACAAATTATAGATTAGATTATTCCCCCCTGATTTAAGAAATAGGAACCTAATTTTCATGAATTATATCATTTTATCATAATCTCAACCAAAAGACAGTCTTATATAAACAAACAAGGCATTCTAGTATTTCCTAATAAATTATGCAAATGAGGTCCTGATTTGAATAAATTATGTTTAATGATGTTCACCTCAACTTAACTTTCAAATACCATAAGTATGAAATTACAGGCAGTTATTCATTACATAATTATAAAGTTTTCTCATTAATTATGCAAATTAAGTCATTATTAACATAATCAATATCTGCCTGTGTTTCTCTCGTTGTCAATTACCAATGTCACAAGCTTCAATTGTCTTATTATGGAATGCAGCTGATTTATAGAATTTACCCATAAATTATGCAAATTACATCCGATATTTGCATAATTGTCACATAATTATATTAAACATCACGTAAGCTACCTACATACCAAAAATCACGACGATCCGTCAACCGGTTATTGAGTTATCCTCTTTTGAATAGTTTCAAGAATATATCCCTGCAGTTCCAGAGCAAGCCACTAGGGGGCCCAAACTCACGTCACTTCTTCCCCAGCACAAGAGCTACCTACCACCCAAATTCCATCACCATAACATGTCTAGATCATGAGATATCAAAACCGGAAGTTCAGCTGCAGTACCATAACAAGCCGCTAGGGAGTCCAAAATCTAATCATTTTGAGGTCTCATCAAGACCTACCCACCTACCAAGTATCAAGACAATCCATCAAGGCCTTCTCAAGTTATCGTGTTGACAGACAGACAGACAGACACACACACACACACACACACACACACATACACGAACGCCTCTGAAAACATAACCTTCTTGGCGAAGGTAAAAAAGGCAAAAAATTACGCAGTTTTAGGGAACACACAATTGTACAAAATATCATTAATATCATACAATCAAACTGAGTAATAAGAATATACAATTGGTGGTCGGTTGATTACACAGTAAACAGCGCACTGTTAAAGAGTTTTGACAGGTACGGAATGGCACCTCTCAGATCTTATAGATTGTGGATCAAACTATTCACAACCTAGAGGTTTAATTGCCGAGATACCGTAGGCCAGCTTAACATGCGTTTTCAGAAACACTTACCATATCAAAATATAAAACTTGTGTATACACGTAATGGGGTCCCTGAACATATTGTGACCTTGAAGAACAATATTGTGTAACCATAGTAACTACCTTCAGACGACAGTAAGGCATTAGGTCAGTACTCACGCCTCGCAGCGATCAGCGCACTTTCACATCCGAGCACGCCCAGGGTCAGTGTCGGGCGGCCGAACCAGGCGACCGGAATGGCTCGCAGGTACCTCGTGGAAATGCGTGGTTCTATAAAGGTGCGGACAGTTGTTCTCGGTTCAGTGTTGGCTTGATACACCTGAAACAAAAAAAAAGTCTCATCTCTGAGAATTATTTGGAGTTTTTCTGTGTTTCTCGTTAGAACATCATGCAAAGGAAGGAACCAATGAGCAAGGAAGTAATATCAAATAGGGGGTTGGAATGAAAGATGATTCCAATAAAGTTTGCATGTTGTTAGTAGTATTATTTATCTATTTACTTAATCTGAAACAATTAAAGACAAAAACTTTCTTAAACGTAAAGTCGTCCTCAAAGTTACCTTAACACGTGTACACGGCTCAGAGCCGGCTCCATGGTTGTTGTACACCGCCCCGTCGGCACTTGTCTGAAGACTGTACGCTTTAGTGTAGGAGTTGGTGCTCACGTCGCCCGATGTCTCTATCGCGGCCACGTACATCTCCCGACCGAAATCCAGGTCCATCCAGGGGCGAGCGTCGGCGTAAACGTGCGGCTGATCTGGGAAATCGTCCCGCAGGCCAATCCTGTCGTGAACGAAAAAAAACAAGCGGTAACTCACTCTTTTCAGAACAATGCGCCACATTAGAACAAAGGATAACACGAAGAAAATGTCTAAGCTGCAATTAACATTCTCAATAGTATCAACAACAAACCGTCAATTTCACAGATGACGCGCGAGTTCAGGCCACAGTGCTGAGTTGTCCACTTGAACCCTGCAGTTCGGCCCATGATGACACAGGTGTCGCTGCCGAACGCCGCCGTTTGGTCGGTGCCAGGAGACCACCAGGACGACTGTGCAGCCAGAGGAACTTGGTGCCACCAGTTGTACCAGGATGTAGACTGCAGAATGTGCACGGAGAAAACAAAAACAACAAAAAAAGTCAAATTCAGATGGCAACCAAACTTAAAACCAAGTTTATAGCAAAAAAAAAAACATCTTAGGTTCATTTTCGGAAGTCACCTCGTAGGCTATTTGCATCAAAGAGCTCTTGGTAGTTGTAGGTGAGTATTCATGGTAGTTAAAGTAACGGTCTGTGCTTTGATTTTGATTGCCGAGTGGTGATGACGGAAGTTTGCGAATCTGAAGCCCAAGTACAACGGGAAAGAGTGCTGGGAAGCTACACTTAGATAATGTGACGTCCAGGTAACACGCTGGTGTTCAGGATATATTGCCAATGGGAGGCGTGGGCCTGTAAGGCTATGTCATTGTCTTGTCTTGTCGTGGTGAGCCTTTTTAACTTAAGGCCGCACCATCCGGTCCCGCATATTGGGGGTGGCTGTCAGGAGAAGGTACACCGGCAAGCCAAGGCAAGGGATAGAGAGTAGGGTGTGATTGTACGACAATTGTAACTGCAAGCTGAAAGCATTTGGAAAATGTGTTCATATCCTGGTGGTTTAAGAACGTAGCACTACACGAAAAGTTGGATATACCAAAGGTTGTAAACTCAGCTAATGTTTACTTTGCATATAATATCTGGCTTTACAATGGTAGTAAATAAAAGTCAAGTCAGGAAATTTCATTTACAACGTAACCCTTCTTAAGTCCGGAATTACCGTACTCGACTTTTATTTACTAACATTGATATGTCCAGTAGCGTTTATTAAAAAACAAAGTAAACATTACCAAACTTTACTGGTGTTTACTGCCATTGGTAAATCTAAGTTTTCGTGCAGTGTAGCTGATTTCTAATGAGCACCTGAGAGAACCGCAGTCCGACCCAGTATTTGTCTCCATCTCTGGCTGACGTGATGGTGCCGAGAATCGTCTGTTCAGCTTCGCTGTTGATCTCAACCACGTGAGCTGGTAAAGTAGAAAAGAGGTGATGAAAATCTGCTGCTGGTCTTTGGGAATTTTGAGGACAACTTTAGCCTGTGCCGCACAACCTCTCACTGTAGGAAGCTGGTAGGTACTCCGAGAGTTGGTGGCCATAGACCTCTAACTCGAGAGAACCCCCAGACTTACCAATAGGAGCTTTAGGATTCTTTATCATTGTAAAAACCAGTCCAATAGGAGCAAAATATTCTCTGTCGCTATGTTTATGTCAGCATACATACATGAATCAACAGGATCAAGATGTTCCCAATTCTCCTGATGACTTTTCGGTGTTGCTCACCAAGCTTTCCATGACCAATAAAAGGGCCACCAGAAGCACGATCTGGACCGGCTATGTTAGCTACAGACTCAAAGGTAACATTATTGACATTGGAGGGTGCATGCAGCAGCCCGTTGCTTGATACAAGGGTTCCGTTACACAAAGAGCCTGGCATGAGAAGATGTTCTACACTGACCTGCCATGTTATGACAAGCTGAAACCGCTGTCTCGTAGGAAACCTCGGACCTTCCGAAATAGTAGCAGGAGTCTCCCCAAACCCGCCATCCATATGGACAGTGCGCTGCCGAAGTAAGTAAACATTGCACACAATATTCAAGTCGTCATGGCGTCCAGTTTAAAAATGTTTTATACAACGTACTGAGGATGATTCAATACAGCTTTTTGAGTGCCGATGATTCAATACAGAATTGTTTAGACAGTTAAATCCCAGTTAAGTGGCGGTAGTTTGTTGTCGTGCTTTCGGAATTGTAACATATCCTTCCTAATTAAAAGTAGATTAGAACAGTTTGTATGAGCACAGTTTGGAATGGGAAAGACTAAATGATGAAGATAACATACGCTTGACGCCGAAGGTCCCCACTTTACCCGAAGATGTTGTCCATCGACCTGAGATCCAGTGAAAAGATCAACGTACGCTTCGTGGACGTCTGGTACCAATCCAGACTGCCGCCAATCCACAGCGGTGTTGGTAAATTTGCTCACAAAGTACCTCTTCTTTGGGCCGGCATGGTACTAAATAACAATGTAAAATAAGCGTTTCATACAAAAATCATGACGCGTTTTGTAACGGTGATGAAAGTTTTAACATGTAGGTTTGAGGCCCAAATTGGAACTGTGTGACGCTGTGTGAGTTCATAAATGACACGATGTAAATATTTGATTCTAAAGACAACAAAAAACACACAAAATATTAAGAAAATATTTATCTTTAGAAACTTGTACAATATCTGTCACATTTTTAGTCACTGGACGGTCGTAGCCTCTTGTAGAAAAGGTAGCATTATCAGTACTGTTAGTAAGGCCCCATCCCACTTATACCCCCATTCCAATTAGCCGGCGCTCTCACGGCGCTCTCTCTGCGACCTGAAATTGGCCCGAGCGCGGAGAGAGCGCCGAACTCCACGAAAAACTTGCTCAAGTGCAATCTCTACTGCGACCTCTCTGCGCTCTCTGCGCGACCAAACACTCAATTGTCAACAACGGTTTTGGGGCGACCAACGATTTCACAGCTCACTCAAGGAATCACAGAAATAGAGAACGAAAATTTGTACGTTTTGTTCGTTTTATTCTTCGAAGTCCTGCACATCCTGCATCATATTTAGATTATGAAATCAAGGGTGTAAGGCCCCCATTGTATTAGGACGCTCTCACTGCGCTCTCTCTGTGCTCTCTCTGCGCTCTCTCTGCGCTCTCTCTACGCTCTCTCTGCGCTCTCTCTGCGCTCTCTCTGTGCTCTCTCTGCGCTCTCTCTACGCTCTCTCTGCGCTCTCTCTGCGCTCTCTCTGTGCTCTCACTGCGCTCTCTCTGCGGCATGAAATTGGTTGGAGCGCGGAGAGACGGCCGTGAGAGCGCCGAGGTCGCCATGTTTTGTATCTAAATTTATGTTGGGGCCGTTATGCGCTCTCATGGCGCTGGCTTCGCGCTCTCGTCCTCGGCGCTCTCACGGCGCTCTCACGGCGCTCTCACGGCGCTCATTGTTGCATCACTGTCCCCGGCACCCTCACGACGATAGTATGATCCGGTTCAAAACAGTCGCCGAGGTGACGGCGCTCATGGCGCTGTCATGGCGCTCTCATCGCGCTCTCATCGCGCTCCCATGGCAACCTTGGCGCTCTTTGCGCGCCTCTGGTCGCAGAGAGAGCGCCGTCTAATAAGTAGAATGGGGGTATAAGGGAGCGTTTATGCTACTCACTTGCAACTCGGCCCCGCCGGCGAGGTTGAATCCGTACTTCAGGGCGATCATCCCGCAGGGCTTGTCGATGATGTGGAGGTTGCACTCGCTGTCCTCGTCAAACGGGCTGTTGCTGTAGAACCACTGCGTTCGGCTGGCCAGTGTCATCACGGAGCCACAGCCTACAAACGGGACACACAGGGGCAAGGTGGTAAGGATATATGCTCGTGGTGGGGGACGTTGAGGCCCAACATTGGGTCCTGGGGGAAGGCACGTAAAACCTATTTCCTCACTAGACTCAGGTGTAAGGCACTGCAGTAATCTGCTAAGTTCGCTGAGGGCAGACCTCAAGGAAAGAGGATTAGGACCATTGCGGTCAGAAAGAAAACTCCAGGAGCTCAGGAGGCTCGCGATGAACAGGACGAAGTGGAGAGAGATGAAGAAAGACTGATTGCGGCTGCAGGATGCCAAGCTACTGCAGCAGCAGAACACAGTGGACTGCTACTACTACTCAGGTGTAAATGAGTGCCTAATATAGCTTCGGATACACATAGACGTCCTCTCGGATGAGACATAAAGTCGGAAGCTACGTGTTTGAGAAGAGCTACGCCTCGAGCACGTTAAAGAACCCACCACACTTATCGAAAAGAGTGTGAGTGATTCAAACCTTACAGCCCGGACATTTATCCATGCATTCCATGTATGCAATGCCAATGAATTGACAAACAAGATGAACATAAAAGAAGCATACCGTGAGCAAAATGAAAAGACGTCTCGCCGGTTCCGTCGTACCTTTGTAAACCAAATAAAAACATTGTCAGGGCACTTATTTCTTAGTTACTTAGCTGGAAACTTTCATCTAGATCTGAAGCCATAAACTGCTTTAAAAAGCGTTGGCACTTTCCATACCTCTGGGGCGAAGTATATCATTGTGGGCTAGTTGCAATCGATCTAGTTTCACTGCAAATCTATCGACCATGGTCTGGAGAAGGTCGGTAGACCATGGCCGACTGTGAGTGACAGGGTCTTAAATCCCGACCATGGTCTGAAGAAGGTCGGGAGACCATGGCCGACTCTGTGTGACAGGAGCTCAACTCCCGACCATGGTCTGGAGAAGGTCGGTAGACCATGGCCGACTGTGAGTGACAGGGTCTTAAATCCCGACCATGGTCTGGAGAAGGTCGGGAGACCATGGCCGGCTATGTGTGACAGGGTCTTAACTCCCAACCATGGTCTGGAGAAGGTCGGGATACCATGGCCGACTGTGTGTGACAGGGTCTTAACTCCGAACCATGGTCTGGAGAAGGTCGGGATACCATGGCCGACTGTGTGTGACAGGGTCTTAACTCCGAACCATGGTCTGGAGAAGGTCGGGAGGCCATGGTCGGCTGTGAGTGACAGGGTCTTAACTCCCGACCATGGTCTGGAGAAGGTCGGGAGGCCATGGCCGGCTCTGTGTGACAGGAGCTAAACTCCCGACCATGGTCTGGAGAAGGTCGGGAGGCTATGCTCAATTATATATGTTCTGGAGAAGGTGTATGATCAGTATTATATATTTAAAAGGGGTTGAACTCACTCGAGAGCGCTCACCCCGTGGTGCGTAATTGGTTTAGCAAGTCTGGCCAGGATGAACTTCCGAACGGTCACGGCTCCTCCCAGTTCGTCCATGATCCACCCGTGATGAACAGCCGCTTTACACACAGACGAGTTCTACAGAGTGAAACAGAAACGTGTACCACTGCATTTATGAGGATATATTATGTCTATGGATTTTTTAAGACTTCAGTGCAACCCGTATCCTTGCTATACTTTAGGCCATGTTGATTTGATCATATGGATGACATCCTAGCTAGGAACTGCAAACCTGACCCCAAACATGAAATCTGCGCGGTCATGAAGGTTGAACAAATGACTAAATAATAATAATAGTATTGATTTCTGAATTCTATGACATAAGTATGGTTTTCCAACACTTGTTTTGCAACATAAGACTCACATATTCGCTCATTTTGTACGATTTACAGTATGGTCAAAAACTTTTTTGGAGAAGGACGAAAATTCATGCGCTCATTGATGTCATCCATATAATCAAATTAACATAGCCTTATGTGATCCTGACCTCTTCCCTCATACCTCAAAAAGAAAACGTTTAAACACTTTAGTAAGTCGCTATAGGGCTGCTAAATGCTCTTGCATGAAAACTATTTTCGATCGAGATCTTGTACTTACCGTGCTGTACATCCCATCACCAAAGATTGGTCCTGCGACGGACGCACAGCCGGGAGGACAGACGATACTGAAACACAACATTTCATGTTATCCCTGACCCTCACACCGCAGTAAACAGTCACCTTGACGCCAGACTGTTTAAAGGGCCCACAGGTCAGCTTCTCAGCTCCAGACCCAACATACTCTTGAGCTGGACCCTGAGACATGTTTCGTAGGGTCTAATTCAGGGAGGCCTGCAGTACAGTTCCTTTGGGGGCATGTTAGCCCTGGAGCCGAGGAGCTTGTGTTGGAGTGTATGTCCTCGGGTCCTGAAAACAGTCTGGTATGATTTCTATCAACGGTCTTTGCGCCGAAGGCCTGTGTGCAAAGCAGAGTGCCAGTGCACACTGCTGTTTACCTTATTACTTCAACCATTATTATTTCCAGGTAGTTATTAGTTCAGTTTAATTAAATCAACTGGCATGTACACAGAAAGTGCGACATGAAATTTGTTGAATGTTACAAAGATAATATAAAATGCAATAAAAAAACGAGCGAAGATCTCTCGACATACGATTAAAAGCATTACAAATATCTCTTAAAACCAATAAACGGAACAGTCGTGATCAACAGAGTTATGTATAAGGTATAAGACTTTTGTTTAATTTCGTTTTAGTTAGTTTATACACTTCAGTTATTATTTCTGTGTCTTGATTTTGTTTAATTAATCATTGTTTAATTATTTCATTGTTTAATTTTGATGTTTAATTTAAATATGTTTTGTCATAAGTTATCTTTGCTTGGGGTAGGCCTCTAGAAAAAACACCCAGGTTTCTGGCCTACCCCGCACATTCTTTGATTATTATTATTTGATTGTGTAATTGTTTTTAATATACGTGCAAATGGTAAATAAACAAATAATAAATAATAAACAAATGTACAGTACTAGACAATACGAACATACTCACGTGAACACTGTCTCTGTGCGGTTAGCAGCGGTGGCGTTGCAAACTATGAGAAAAACAGCATGAAGAGCATTATTACATATTACATCAGAGTTCCTCCACTGGATTTTTCCATAATTTTTTATTACAACATTTAATGACAAAAAGGACAGGATGACGACCCACTCAAGCTAAAGCTTATGTTCATGTCGCCATCTAACATTACAAAAGTACAAAAACAGATACAGACATGCAAAGCTTAAAATAAGGTTACAATGCATAATAACTATGTCACATATACTGTGATCATATAAAATATATGAAGAGGAATTGTATATGCAAGTAAATTGCAAACTAGCTAGGTACTCCAACCAAAACCTACAAACTGGTAGGATAGGAAAAGAATTACTCAAATCTTTTAGGTTTTTTGAAGTACATGTATTTGGTTTAACAAATGTTCAGGCATCACAGTATAGAAGCTTTCCCGACATCCCCCAACACTAAAGATACAAAATCAGCTTTACCTTCATCGTCGCTGTACGGCCAGGGGTGAGCTTTAAAACAGAGGAATTCTTAGTTATCAATGAATTGTAATCGATATCAGTTGAATACACTATCAATATCAATACATTGTTATCAATACTAGATCAATACATTTTATCAATATCAGATCAATACATAGTTATCAATATCAAATCAATACATAATTGCCAGTTTCAGATCAATACATAGTTGCCAATAACAGTTATCAATATCAGATAGATACATTTTATCAATATTAGTAAAGTGGGAACTACTATTAATGCAAGATGGCATGAAAATGTAATGACACAAAATGATGGATGGCAAAAGCCAAGTTCAAACGTCAAGAACTGGTTAATTGTTTATGCATACGCTGCAGCGCTTGGTACAACACAGAAAACACTGTGCGCTTAACTCACGCCGTTTGAAGTACAGATCCGCCCCGGTGAGGTTGGCCGGTGTCGGGCAGGACCGTTTGAGCCTGCAGGAGTTGTCGGAGTCGCCCGGCACGTGCACGAACGCCCCGCACGATCCCGAGGCCGTACAGAGGTGCGCACAGGTGGCCAGGCTCGTGTTGCCGTGGTCGCTGATGTTGAACAGCCCGCCGGTACAGGCCTGGTCTTTCTTCCGTATGTAGCCGAGTGTAGGGTCTGGTAGAAAGTATAAAGGACCTGGTTTAACGTCATTGCTCGTTACTTCAACACTGAACCCGCCACTCTGTTGGTTATTATGTGTTTTGTGACCAGTCGAGTTTTTTTTTTCTTCTTTGGTTTTATTGTTATCTTTCCCTTTGCCATGTGTGTGATCCCAAAACTTGCCGAGTCCGACATACATGTACGTTACAGCTAAGTGAACTGCATATTCATGTATCACTTTCACGTTATAGCTGTCAGTTGTAACATACTCTGACAGACTGAAAGGGAGTCATGAAGTGTGAGATATTTGTCTGCGCTACACAGAGAAGACATGAAACACTCGGGTAACGCCCAAAATTGAGTCATGCGTTTTACATTCTCCCTGATGCATGCGAAGAGCTATACATGTACGCGCGCGCGTACCATATATTAAATGAATGAATGAACTTTATTGCTCGACAGTTGTACATGGTACAATGTACTAGTGGCATCAATAACAGTGTGATCAATACAGTCAAGTCTGTTCTAAGAGACTACTTTACTACAGGAATATGAACGCAAACGGCGTAGGACATGATGTGCGTTAGGCGTTTTTATCTGTTACAATACTTCTTCTCTTTAGTAATGCACTACATATAAATTGGCCTAAATACGCAGATATGGAGTCGGGACATGACAAAAGTAGATTGAAAATGTCAATGTTTGTCTTTGGGAGAGGTTTACCAGCTTTAATTGTGATCATTTTCATTAACTTTTGTCTATCTAAGGTATATGCAGGACAGGTCATTATGAAATGATATTCATCAATATATATTTGACACTTAGTCATCAATCAAGTTGTTCTTTTCTGGGCCTGTATCTGTATCGGTATATAACCGCCTTTCGGCGTAACACACCAGCTTCGCAGGCACACGGCGCGGGCGCAGCTTGCTATATCACACCGAACGACTTGTTACACACAATCTTTGCACATTTAATTGCAGGAGTTTTTAGTGATGATCCCCCAACTGTGCTTGGTGGCAACGAGTTCCAGTCTAAGATACATGTAGTTCTTGGGAAATACGAGTTTTTAGACACCTCAATTCTTGGTTGATATTTGAAGGCACGACTGTCTCTTGTTAACGTTCTTGTAAGTTGTGTATATATACGACAAAAATGTGGCAAATATATCTGATATATCATATTCATTGTATATGAATAATCAATTATAAATGGTTGAAACATCAAATTTGTTTTGCAACCTGGCAGACAAGCAATAGAACACAACTTTGGTGGAAAAACGAATTAATAATGTCACAATGTGGCTAGTTTTAGTTTTTCCCCCTACAAACTGCCAGCATTTTACCATGCCTTGTGTGCCAGACAAGCGGAACGTGATCGTGATAGATTAAAAAACCCAAAAGGCTGACAGAAATGCACGCTAGGAGATGGGGTACCGCCCAAGGTATTGTATGCGCGTTAGCGTTTGGATGGTTGAATTTGATATCCCAGGTAACAGAAAAACATAAAGTGAAAATGACTTCCCGACTATGATATTCTCATGGAAATGTTATGCATATGAAAAATTCACTGCACAACAATTACACAAGGTTCAACGTATGACATCTTCAACAACGGAAACAAACACCATACTATCTTACTAATCTGTATCTGTATAACCGCCCCTCGGCGTAACACATTTGCAGGCACGCGGCGCGGCGGCAGCTGGCTACATCACACCGAACGACTTGTTACACCTAACCCTTGAACATCTAACTCTAAACATTGTTTAAAGGCTATCTAATGGAATCTCGGAACGCCTAATGTTGATGAGGCTCAATACGGCTGGAGGCTACGTCAACCTCATTAATGCATATGCACCAACCTTAGCTGCATCTATGGAACTGAAAGATAGCTTCTATGGAATGCTTGGACAGGCTTTCAGTTCGATCCCACATGGAGAGCAGCTGTACCTTTTGGGTGACTTTAATGCACGGGTAGGCAGAGACCACGACATCTGGCCTACATCACTCGGTCACTTCGGTGTTGGGAAGATGAACGAGAACGGACAGAGGCTTCTGGAGTTTTGCTCAGAGAGGAATCTCGTCATTACCAACACGATGTTTGGAGTGAAAGAATGCCGGAGAGTATCATGGTGCCACCCAAGGTCCAAGCACTGGCATCAACTAGACCTGGTAATCACCCGCAAGCAACATCTGAACAATGTGAAGGTAACCCGCTCCTTCCACAGTGCGGACTGTGACAGTGATCACTCACTGGTAGCCAGTAGAGTGGAGGTCACACACAAGCGCATCCATAGGCGGAGACCTGAGGCCAGGCCCAGAGTCAACGCCAAGGTGGCCAGGGAGCCAGAGAGCAAGGAAATCTTCTCCAGGGAGTTTTCTCGCAGGATGCAAGAGTGTGCGGCTGGCGGCACAGTGGACCAAGTATGGCATACACTGAGTAAGAGCATATACGACAGCGCAGTGGCCAGTTGTGGTGTTAAACGACACGAGGGCAAGGACTGGGTTGAGGCGTACGCTGGTCTTCTCATGCCCTTACTTGACGCCAAAAAGTCTGCAATGCTTGAACACAAAACAAACCCATCGCAAGCAACACTGGATCGCCTCCGACATGCAAGATCAGAAGCACAGAGGGAAGCTAGGAGGTGTGCAAACCAGTACTGGACAGAGTTATGCACATCCATCCAAACTGCGTCTGATGTGGGAGACGCAGGCACGATGTACAGCCTCATGAAAGTAGCTCTTGGACCTAGAGTCTCAAAAACAGCGCCTCTTAAGACGAAGGAGGGAGAAGCAATTACAGACAAAACAAAACAACTAGACAGATGGGTCGAACACTACTCTGAGTTGTACTCAAAGGAAATAGCTGAGAAACCTAGACTGGAGGAGGTCCTACCAGCATACCCAGAACTAGCAGAGTTAGATGCCATGCCTGAGGAGAGTGAACTTCTAGAAGCTCTGAGTGCTCTACCCAGTGGCAAGGCACCTGGTCAGGATGGCATACCGGCAGAGGTCCTGAAGGAGAACAGAGAAGTCATACTGCCCTACTTGTACAAACTTCTCCGACAGTGTTGGGAGGAAGGCAAAGTCCCAAATGAAATGTGCAATGCCAAGATCGTGACCCTCTATAAGAACAAAGGTGACCGAGGGGACTGTAACAACTTCAGAGGGATTTCACTGCTGAGCATTACTGGCAAAGCTATTGCACGTATAGTACGCAAGCGCCTACAGACGCTAGCAGAACGGGTGCTACCGGAATCCCAGTGTGGTTTTAGAGCAGGACGGTCCACCACGGACATGATCTTCACCTTGCGACAACTGCAGGAGAAGTGTAGGGAGCAGTGTATGCCTCTCTACATCGCCTTCGTCGACCTGACCAAGGCTTTCGACACGGTGTGTAGACCTGCCCTCTACAAAGTACTCAAGAGCGTGGGATGTCCACCCAAACTCCTACGATTGGTCGTCTCTTTCCACGAGGACATGAAAGCCTGTGTCCAGTTCGATGGTGCAACATCTGACTCCTTTGACATCAAGAACGGAGTCAAGCAAGGGTGCGTGATGGCGCCGACCCTCTTCAGCATTTACTTTGCTGTACTCCTCCGTTACGCCTTTAAGGGAAACCAGGATGGTGTGTACATAAGGTCACGCACAGACGGCTCACTGTTCAACCTGGCAAGACTCAGGGCAAGAAGCAAAACCGTTGAGTCGTTGTGCAGAGAGCTCCTTTTCGCTGATGATGCAGCACTCACAGCTCATAAGGAGTCTGCTCTGCAGGGACTGTTGGACAGCTTGGCCCGGGCCTGTGACCTTTTTTGCCTTACCATCAGTGTCAAGAAAACGGAGGTAATGGGGCAAGGTACTCCCGTCCCACCTTTGATTACACTGCACGGAAATCCCCTCCGAACAGTTGACAGGTTCACTTACCTGGGATCAGTGATGACAAGTACCCACTCTTTGGACGAGGAAATAAATGTAAGGATCGGCAGAGCTGCTGCGTCTTTTGGAAAACTAAGTAAAAGAGTGTGGGAAAATCAAAAACTGACAAAAAAGACAAAAGTAACTGGTCTACAACACATGTGTACTGTCGACTCTACTATATGGCAGCGAAGCTTGGACAGTGTACTCGCGACAAGAAAAAAGACTCAACAGTTTCCACCTACGCTGCTTGCGGAAGATCTTAAACATAAAATGGCAGGACAAAATCACAAATGAGCTAGTTCTCCAGCAAGCAGGATCACTGTCCTTGTTTGAGATCCTGCGGCGAAACAGGTTGCGCTGGCTAGGCCACGTGGCCAGGATGGACGACAACAGGCTTCCCAAGAAAATACTGTACGGCGAACTCTCTCAAGGGAGTCGACCAAGGGGAAGGCCTAAGCTCAGGTTTAAGGATTTGTGCAAAGCTACTCTCCAAGACTTCTCCATTGAATCTTGGGAGAAGGCAGCAAGCGACAGAAGTAAGTGGAGAGCAGCGATACACAAAGGGACAGGACTGTTCAAAGCTGCTAGAGAGAGCAGGAAAGCAGAAGCTAGGAGCAGGCGAAAAGGACCTATAGAGAAGAGCACCACACGGGAGTACTGTTGCCGATTCTGCGGCAGAGCCTGCAGGGCCAGAATCGGCTGTACCAGCCATGAGAGGCGCTGCCCGGCCAGACCCGTAGAGAGTAACTGAAGCTGTAGACCGTCTGACAAGACGACAAGGGCCCAAGGAATGATAATGTCCCTGCTGTACTTGGTGACAGCGAGTTCCACTCTGCGATAGTTCTAGGAAAGAATGATTTTTTTAACACCTCAATCCTTGGTCCACCAGTTTATTAGTCATTTTGTACATCATGCATAGTCTGGGCCGATTTTTTCGTCTGTCTTTCATAGTTGTTCATGCAGAATCTTGCAGTATTGTATGCGCATTAGTTTGGATGGTTGAATCAGTGATGTCCCAGCTAAAAGAAACCATATAGTGAATATGATCCCCCGACTATGATTTTCTCAGGGAAATAAGATGTTATGCATATGTAAAATTCACTGCACAAAAATTACAGAAGGTACATGTACAACGTATGGCATCTTCAACAACGGAAACAACCACCATACTATCTTACTAATCTGTATCTGTATAACCGCCCTTCGGCGTAACACACCAGCTTTGTAGGCACGCGGCGCGGCGGCAGCGGTCTACATTACACCGAACGATTTGTTACACCTAACCCTTGAAGATCTAACTCTAAACATTGTTTAAAGCTATCTAATGATAATTCCCCTACTGTACTTGGTGACAGTGAGTTTTCACACTGCAATAGTTCCAGGAAAGAATGGTCAGTTTTTTAACACCTCAATCCTTGGTTGAGATGAACTCTGGTACTTGAAGGCATGACTGTTTCTTGTTCTTTTCTGAGCTGGTATTATAGGTACTTAGTAGTTGGTACGTCCACCAGTTTATTAGTCATTTTGTACATCATGCATAGTCTGGACATTTTTCGTCTGTCTTCAGCGTCCCTTTCATAGTTGTTCATGCAGAACCTTCCAGTATTGTATGCGCATTAGAGTTTGGATGGTTGAGTTAGTGATATTCCCCAACTAACAGAAAAACATATAGTGAAAATAATTTCCAGACTATGATATTCTCAGGGAAATGTTATGCATATGAAAAATTCACTGCACAAATATTACAGAAGGTACAACGTATGGCATCTTCAACAACGTCTTACTAATCTACCATACAAAAGACTACATCGTATATGTGCCGAGGAAAATATTCTGTGTTGTACAAAATTCATTTTTTTTTTGTTATCGAAAAGGCTGACTTAGACTCTTGTTGCTGGTTAGTTCTGTCACAGTCACCACATCAAAATAGTCGGGCGGCCAACGACGTATGTGACCACTAAGGACATAATATAACATCCTTGCCCCTGTAAGCAAAAGTATCGTATGTCTAGACATACACATGGACATCACATGCGCTGGCGATTCCACAAAGGACGGTATCGTCGGTTATATGGAAATAATCTCCAAGCAGATATACAGGCTATGTAGAAATGCTTCCTACAGCTACTTACTGGTAGAAGGAAGTAACGTCCTCCCTTCAAAATAATTGCAGTGTCCCAGACCGACCGACAGAACAAAGATGCTGGCGGAAAACCACCACATCGTGGAAGGTGTCTCTCCGTACATCCGTCAGTAGCGGTGTCGTCTGACAGACTAACACACGTCACTGAGCGCCGAGATGTGATGAATGGAGCTATGAGGTACCACCCTGAGCTACGTATATTGTGTAGTCTCCACCAGACTTCTTTTGCGGGCTGAATAAATCGTAGAAATCGGCCTAAAAAGGGTATTAATTGGCC